ACCCTTCTCATATGTTTAAAAAAAAAAAAAAAAAAGTATGACAAAAATTTGCCCAGTCAGCGAGCACCCTTAACAACACCTTGAATCTGTATGTGGTGAATTACTTTCTTTTGCACTGTTCACACCATTTTGGAACACTAGATTTGTAGAGACACCTCTACATGTTGTGGATCACACTTGGGGCTGAGGTACAGAGGACAAGCAGCTCCCCACCTGAGCAGCACTCACCTGGATGGCCCATGTACACCAGCCCTTCCCACGATGTAATTTGTGATGTCCCTATAGGCACTTGTTCCTCCTCTAGTGATGGAAGTCCAGGCAATCATGGGTTTCTCCTTTCCTCTCACTTCAGTATGGAGCTGCTGACCAAGCCAGAGGGCAGTATTCTTTTCAAGCCAGCACAAGAACTGTAGTTTTCCGACTCCTCCTAAGTTGGTTGTTCCCACATCCCAGTGCAGAATAGGGAGAATCACCAATGCTTTTCCTGGACTGGGGCCGGGATGAGTGACCTCGTTCCCCCAAGGAAGGTGTGTACCTGTCCACTGACCAATAACATTCTCCTCCCCTCTCCCTTGTCTTTACAGGACACAACGGACTGGTGGCTGTGAGTACTTCCCTTTCAGCCTCTTGTCTCTGGCCCTGGAGCCTGTGACTCTCGGAAGGCACTCTGAGGAAAAGCAGGAGGAAGGAGGCAGGGTTAAGGCCTAGGACAGCTGTCCATGTTCCCTGTGCCATCTACAACCAGTTAGGGAGGATGATACAGTCCCTCTCTTGGCCTGTCCTAAGGCATGTGGTCCCCCTCCCTGTGGGAGGTCAGGGAGCTTGGAGAAGTGTGCTGGTGAACAGTGGGAAGACACATACGCATAACTGGCCCAGAGGAAGGGGATTGGAGCCTGAGGATCAGGAACATGGCGCTAGGTGGACTCTGACTCCAGGTTAAGGACAGTCCTTGTGTAGAGGGACTGGCTGCCCAGCAAGATTTAAGTGATGTAGCACCCAGAGCCTATAGCTGCTGTGTGTTCAGAGTGTGCCCTGGCAAGGTTAGTCCACCTGACAGCGGGGCCAGGGACCCTGTGCCGGCACAGCTGACTTCTAGATCCCACATTAGCTGGGCCAGAGTCACCCCAAGCTGTGCTTCTCCCTGGGTCCACACACCTCTAAGAGGCCACAGAACAAATGGGCCATCATGTGGAAGCAGTGGCAGCTCTGGAATATCGAGGTAGGGAAACTTGCAGAGACTGTGAGATGCCAAGGGACATTTGCTAACCCTTCATCCTTTGCCTGATGCATCCGTTTTACTTGAACATTCTATGATAATTGTAACACTGGTTTCATTATTAATATAAACATGGGTTTGTGACCCAGCTCTACCTCTCCTGTAAGGATGAGTCACACAGCATTTCTGAGCCACGGTAAAATGGGGATCATGGCTCCCACCTCCAAAAGATGCCGTGTGCAGCCCAGACCTGGCATGTTAAGCTTGACACGATTGGTGGCTCTTACTGGACATGTTCAGCCCAGGGATGGCTGGTATCGATGCTGTTCCTGCAAGGGGCTCCAGGATCATGGCTGTGGTTATCCAAGTTGAGTTTCTTACTCTTTGCCGCAAGGGACGGACATGCTGGTGGATCATGGGTGTCTCAGCAAGAAGGTGCAAGAAAGAACCTAAGATAGGATTTGAGCTTTGGTTGGATAATTTGGGGAAAGGCTGAGAAGGTGAAGGTTTTCCCCAGATTAGACACTGTCAGAAAGTGACTTAGAGTCTCTGTTTCTCTGTAAATTTCGTCAAGGGAGCAGAGCTTAGATGAGGACATCAGTAATTGGTGAAGAAATAGCAGTTGTTCATTTTTGGCTAAGAGAGGGAATGTTTGATATTTTGTGGATAGCACAGAATTCTTCCTTTTGCTTGTGTTTAGACAAAACTGCAAAGGGCTTGTGTCTCATTTTGTCATGGCCTCAGAATAACTTTGTGTGAGGTTGTCACTCTGTGAAAACATTTTATATCTAATAGAATAGTGTGCTTGTGTCTGCATGCCAGGCCAGTTTCCAAATGTCAGAGACTGTCCTTGTTTGTTCTCAGTGGATCTGTTAAGGTTATAGATCCTGGGTTAGACTGTCTGGGCTCGCTTTCCGACACCTCCACTCATTAGCTGTGGGAGCCTTAGGCAAGTTGTTAGCCTCAGTGAGCCTCAGTTTTCCCATGTGTGAAATGAGGAGAACTACAGTGCTCATTTTACCTCTAGGATGGTAGAGTGGATTCAATGAGATGTATCCACAGTATCTGGCATATAGTGGTTGCAAAGAAAACTTTTGAAAAAGTCTGGCTTCTAAACTGCACTTTCCTTGTTGTCACACTGGTTTTAGTGGTGGTGGGAAGGCTAGTACTATATAGTACGACTGTATGTACAGGATTAACTCCATTTATTGATTTTCCATTAAGTGCTGGAGAAAATTGACAGAAGCTCCTGCATCACTTCCTCCCTCAGAATAAAGTTCTACTATAGCCGCAGCTTCATTTATTGTACATCTTATGCCAGGGACCATGTTAAGCCCCTGCTAGCTCAGGTAATCCTTACAGCATCCCAATAAAGTAAGTAACATTGGCACTACTTCCATTGGCCCCATTTTTCCACAAGGAAACTGAGGTCAGTCAGATCAGGTATTGGAGCTGCCTCAGCTAAATGAGTATGAGGAGTTGAACCTGGGGAGTCTGTCTGGCTCTCCATCCTGAAGTTCAGCCTCACCATGCTGCTTCTTGCTTTGCTTGCAGAAAGGAAAGCAGCTTGCTCCCACCTGGAGGAGAGGGACATCAGGTAGGGTGGACAGGATGCAATGTAAGTTCCCAAGACAGCCAGGCTTCTCAGGAGGCCTTCAGATGGGATACAGGGGAGCAGGAGCAGATGTGTCTGAAATTTGAAAACATCTTAACAGCACAAACCAAGGCAGGCAAGCTGGCTGGCCCTGCAGTGAGGACCCTGAGACCACTAACTAGTCAGCTCCTGGGTCCCTGTGTTACCAAGGGATAAGGAGGACCCTGTGTGCCCCCAGGCAGCATACCTGCAGAGACTTGGGGTGAACACAGTGGTCTTCGAGAGGCGTCATGTGATCGGGGGTGCCGCTGTCACTGAGGAAATCATCCCAGGTGAGCTCTGAGAGGTTGAGGGGGGGTGGGAGGAGGGTGACCACTAGTGATTGTTCTTCTGTTTGGTTCTAGGGTTTAAGTTCTCTCGAGCATCCTACCTCCTCAGCCTGCTGAGGCCACAGATTTACAATGAGCTGGAGCTAAAGGTAAAGCAGTCCTTATGTTGATGGTTGCCTGGAGGGCTGCAGTTCCGTCTTCTCCACCTCCACTGAGGGCTGCCTGTCCTGTACCTGAGGCGACTCACCACACCTGAGGTCTCTCTCTTCCACCCCAGATATCCCTGATACCAGAACTGAATACAAGTTAGCCAGGGCCTAGGGGTTGGTCTGGTGTCTTCAGCCCATACCACACTATAGCTAAGGGCAGTCTATAAAATGTACTGATTACTTGTGGTGTCAGATACTGGGGGCAGAGGCAGTCTCTGTTCCCTTCCTTCCCTTACTCATCATCCAGGTTTCAGCCATATTCCTTCTGTTCATGTTTTACTATAGGAGTTCTCTCTAAGATGAGGTTCTCAAACCTGCAGATACATAAGAATGAGCTGGGGACTGGTAGGGACTTGGACATTTCCAAATGTTCCTACTCAGAAGTCTGATTCTATAGACATATTGGGGTGCAGGAACTGGCATTTTATAACATCCTCAGATCATTCTAGAACAGAAGGCCCCAAGATACAACTGAGAACTCCACCCTTTAAATCACCATATCATTGGTCTCTCTGATCTACCTTTCCCAAGAATTTCCACTTGGCATGCCTGGACATGCTGAAAATTACATAGATAATCAGAGAATGGTTCTGTTTTTGTTTATTAAGAGAACATCACATTCCAAGCAAATCTCATGGAGGCCATTAATGGATATTTAAATGCCCCTTCTTCTTTTTCCAAATGATTAAAACAATAATGAAAAAGGCACCATTTACAGTGCTGGTTGAGTATTCATGAAGTTTCTCAAGTGTTCTTTGTCATGGAAGTATCTTATTTCCCCACCAATTTTGGAAGATAGTTTTGCAGGAAACATCATTCTAGGTTGGAGGTTGTTCTCTTTTAGGGCTTGAAATACCTTGCTCCAGGCTCTCCTTGATTTGAGGATTTGCCTGCTGTAATTCTGATGGGCTTTCTTTTGTATGATTTTTTTTTCCTCTAACTGCTTGTAGTATTTTGTTCTTCTATTGGGTTTCCGAGATCTTGATTATTATATGTCTAGATGTAGGCTTTTTTTTTTTTTGATCATGGCTATTTGGAGTCCTACATGCCTCACTTATCTGTACGTCAAATTCTTTCACTCTGAGAAGTTTTCTATCATTAATTCTGTGAACAGTTTTTTTAATGTCATTTGTACTTTCACCTGTGTTTTCGTGGATTCCTGTCAGTCTTATATTATTCTTTTTTGCATCATCTAGGAGCTGCTGGATTGATTTCTCATGTTCCCTTACTATTTTTAAGAGATTTCTCCTTTCATGGTCACTGACTGCAATCCTGTCTTCTATATCTGAAATTCTGTCTTCACATTGGCTCATTCTGCTGTGAATGCTTTCAATAGAGTTTTTAATCTCCTGGATATCTGTTTGAATCTATTTGATGACTTCCACTTCTTTCCTATGTTGGGTATTCATGACTTCCATTTCTTTCCTATACTGGACATTCATGGCTTCTGTTATGGTCCTGAAATCATCTACTTTTTAAAATCTGTTTCTGTTCTAGAATCTCTAATCATGTCTTCCATTCTGCTCACCATCTCTGTAGTTATCTGGAAAATTATCTCTGTTTTGAATTATTCTAGAGCCCAATTCATCTGTATTGTTACTTTCTGTGCTATCAGTTCAGGGTGTCCAGGTGGTTGATTATTAGACTTTCCCAGATCAATTTCTTCCCCAGAATTTGCCTGTGGTGAGCTGGAAGTCTGTGTTTGTGCCTTGCTTAGGTGTCTTCTCACTTCTGCTTTTGTTGTTGGTGCTGTTTTTGGTTTAATTCTTGGGTTGATACTTCAGTGTTACTTATTATAAATATCTTTGTTGCTTGCATGTAGCTAAACCCTTAAGGAATAATTGCTTCTCAGAGGTGTCTTCCTGATATAGCTGGTCTTTAGGTTTTGAATTTCTAATGACCTTTAGGCAATCTCATTTTCAGTATAACAGGAAGGACAACTGATTAGAACAATCACAACACCTTAGCTTAAGTCATACAGTAGCATCAAGCACAGCTTAGAAAATGACAATTTGTGATAGTTATTAATCTATCACCTTTAACCGTGTGAATTAAATAAAAATTGAGGACCAGCTAAAATATGTTAATAGTGAATAAACTCTTTACCCTTCAGGATGAGGGCTTAGAAAGAGTTGGTGAGGGAGGCATAGATAGGTACAAGGATTGGGAAAGGTTAGAAGTGAGACCAGAGGTCACAGGAAGATCACACAAACTCTAGGAAATTGTTGAAGACAAGAGGAAGAGACAGAACAAAAGAACAAAGACAAGAACAGAACAACCTAACAGCAATAGGGAAGCCAAAAACTGCATTCACTTTCCTTTAAAATTAATGACAGTCAAGAGAAGGAAAAGAGAGAAGAAAAAAAAAAAGAAAAAAGAAATCAACTATGATGGCCTGGTGTTCCTTTATTGCAGAGATTTTCTTCACTTTTCCATTGGGCTTCAATTTTCATCAAGGAGCCTCAGAGAGGCCTTCTTTCTGTTGTTACTTCTGCTCTATCTTCTGGAGCTCAGAACAGTGCTTTTCTGATCCACTGCCCCTCTGTGGTGTGGATCCAGGTACTGGCTCAGCCCAAGCAGTGGGAAGAGGGGAGCAGTCCTGCTGGTGCCCACCTGGCTCTCTTCCTCAGCACTCAGGAGCAGTGCTCCAAAGGCACCATTTATTTTATTTTATGTTTTTCCTCATTGAGTTTATTGGTACATTTTTGGTATACATTACAGTTGCATTCATTATTGGGATCTTGTAACTTTACATGACAGGTCTTGGTTCTCATTTTCTCCCCTTATCCCTGTAAAGGCACCATTTATAATAGAAAGTCCTAGAATCAGTCAAAAATGACTCATGTTCAATTAGTTATACTGGAAATAATTTCTGGGTCCCCTATAATGAAGGTTTACTGATTTATCTACTCAGTGTTTCTGAGCACCTGCTCTTTTAGGCACTGGGACACTTGGGATACAGTGGTGAACTTGGAGGTAGTAACAGAACTTCAGGTAGAGGTAAGTGGTAGAAAGAAAAGAAAGTGAGCAATATAATAGGGAAAGTCCGGAGGGCCCAGCCTACACTGGTGATCTAGAAATCTTTCTTGAGGGGGTGATATGTGAACCGAAGTCACTGGCCAGTGTGGTGCAGCGTCTGAGCAGAGTTTCAGCCAGAGGGAATGGAAGTTGACAGGCTGAGGCAGGCATGAGCAGAAGGCAGGTCAGTGTGGCCAAAGCAGACCACTGACAGGCAGAAGGGCAGCAGATGTAGGGAAAGGCAAGAGCCAGCTCAAATTGGACTTTGCAAGCTACATGAAGGGTCTGAATTTTATCCATGTGTAGTAGGAAGCCACCTGAGGTGTTTAATCAGGAAGTGGAATATGGGATTCATGACTTTATAAAAGATCAGTTGATCTGGATCATAGTGAAGACAAGAGGGGCTTGCAGATAGATCCATGAGACAGCTACCACAGTGCCCCATATGATGGCACTTGGCCCAAGGCAGAAGATGTGGAAAGATGTGGACAACTTGTGCAGTAGGGGCTGACAAGACTTAGCTCTGATTGGGATGCCGAAGAATGAGGGGGAGAGAGGAACTCAAGATGCTCCTGGGCTTCAACAGGTATACAATATTGGCTCCTCAAACTTGGAATCAGGTTTCTCAGTCTTGATGTTAGAAAGGACACAGAGTTCTCCCACCCAAGCCACACCTGCGTTCTGAATATCAACTACAAAATGCTGCATGCCTGGCTATCCTGCCCATCTGGAGCTTCTCAGAGTTTGATGGTTCCAGCTGTACTTGTTGAGAAGGGCTTATTGTGGTTTCTATGTGTCATTCTAACACTTCTACTCACAGGTCTCATTTATGTCCTTTGGGGCAACACCTGTCTGCAACATAGCCTTTGCCCCTCTAGTCATCAGAATGCTTGCTGGTACCCCAAATCTCCATGTGGGGATACAGTAGTAAGCAAAATAGACAGTGCCCTGACCTCATAGACCATCTCTTCTGCTTAGGAAGATGAAGAAGCATGATATATAATTGGCTATGTGATGACAAGGACTTAGGAAAATAATACAGAGTGAGGGGACAAGAAGAGCTGGTGTCATCAGGGGAGGCATTGCTGATAAAGGATAATTGAGCAGAGACCTTAAAGTAGTGAGGCCCCAGGTCATAGATACAGGGGAGGAAGTCTCCAGACATCAGCAGTAATAAGGTTCACTAAGGTTAGTAGCATGGGTCCCTTTTATTGTGTCTGTGTCTCCATAGATAAGTAAATGTGCTCAGAGAAAGTCCTGTGTGCAGGGCAAACATCTGTAAATCAAATTGTATTTTAAATACTTCAAGGGAACTTCTATTTAAAGTGACCCTGGAGGAAATGAGTCTTCAAAGTAAATAAAATTTTGATGTAAATAATACATCTAAGTTATATGTATGGATTTTCACATAACTGTTGCTTTATGTGTCTCTCTAAATTTTAATTATTTATCTCTGAAGTGGGGCAGTTATAGATTAGTTCTGAGAACCGGGGAATAGGAGTCACAGCGATATGGTCTTGAAACTTAGAACCACCTTCTAAAGTGATCTGGGACAAGTTACTTAACTTCTCTGAATTTCTGTTGCGGTATTTGCACAAAGAGGATAATAGTACTTACAGAGCTGTTGTGAGATAGTAATTGTAAGCCTTACTAATGTCCCTGGCACAAGAAAAGCATGGTATGGTATAGTGTGGTATGGTCTATCCTTTAGTGCTTTGGCAAGAGGACATTTTGTAAACTTATATTTAAAAAAGGAAAACTGGGACCCATACCTTCAGAACCTGCACACAGCCACCCAGGTGGTCACACAAACACAATTGGAGAAAGGTAAATAGCAGACACTATAAACCCCAAAATGTTTCCTGTACTCTTTGTGTCCTGCAGAAACATGGGCTGAGGCTTCATCTTCGAAATCCCCACTCCTTCACCCCCATTCTGGAAGAGGGCACAGGGAGCATGGTGCCTAGGTCCCTGCTGCTGGGCACAGAAATGGCAGAAAACCAGAAGCAGATTGCCCAGTTCTCACAGAAGGATGCCCAGGTAGGAAAAGTGACAAGAGACTGAGCTCCTCCTCCCTCATCAGCCTGGATGAGGTTCTTGAAAGGAAAGGACTGATTGGATCCATTCTAGAACACAGTATCCAAAGCCCATGGGAGCTTGGACAGGCCATCCTTTCTTCCCTGGACAAAAGCTTTTGATCTCAGCACTGTGAAGGGAAGGGATAGAGAGCAGTGATTAAAGCCCTCAAACCTGTGTATGGTCAGTATGAGGCCACTGTCAGATGTCCTCCTCATGCTGAATTTCAAAAGGGAATCCACTGGTATGTACGTTTACTATGTGTGCCTCAGATTCCCACCTGCTTTCAGACAGAACCCCACATGATTATCTACATGAAATCCATGAAAGAAGAGGAAGGGCAGATCAGAGACAATTAAGGATAAAGTGAACTGAATCAGGAACTTAAGATAATATTCATTCAATTTGGCATTAATCCCCTGACACCCAAGACAATAAAGTGTATATGATGGTGTGTGGATCTGTGAAAGAAAGAACACACACTGGATAGTGTGTGGTGATCTAGAAACTGGCTGGGTAACTGTCCAGATGAGTCCCTGAATAATATAATAGGCCTGGTATGATGGGTTCTGAGGGTAGGGAAAGATTCTTTGAAAGGCCATTTGTATACCACACCTAATACAAATTACATGAAATCAGATCTCAGTGGAGACATTTTTATAAGAACCTAGGTTAGTATAATCCATGCACATTGCTTTTTGTTGTTTTAACTGAACATTTGATAAAACCTAGAGAGCCACAGACATATGGTACATATCTCTTCAACCAGAAATTTCTAAACCAGTCTGAAATTTCTGAAATTGCTTTTTCCAAGTGCACCTCATGTGACTGTTTTGTGCACTGGCCTGGGGACCAGGGCCTCTGCTCTCCTAAACCCTGCCTATCTCAAATGCCTTAGGCAGGAGTCAGCACAGCAAAGCCTGTAGCCTATTAGTAACCAAAGAAGCAGGAGGTCAGGGCTCATCCCATCATGGAATACAAGGAGCTTCAGTTCTGGTTTTATCTTTGCAAGTTGTTATTCTTTCTACCTATCCTATCCTATCCTATCTATCTATCATCTATCTATCTATCTATCTATCTCCTTTGCAAGTTGTTATTCTTTCTGCCTATCCTATCTATCTATCTATCTATCTATCTATCTATCTATCTATCTATCTATCTATCTATTTTCCTTGTACCAGGAACTGAACTCAGGACCTTGGGCTTGCCAGGCAAGTGCGGTGCCACTGAGCTACATCCCTGGCCCTGTTGTTATTTTAAAGACTCACTCTAGAAAAAACTATTTAACTTCATTCTTACCAAGACTTCTTAAATGTTCTTCAACATAGAGATTTTTTTAATGTAACTTACTATAATTCCGTGTGTGCATTCATGGGTATAACTGAGCCCAAATTAAAGGTCTGGGGTGAGCATCAGGAGGGCCTTCAATGGCATGGGCAACCATTTCTACCCCTATCACTGGTCTAGTAGAGGGTGGTGGGCATAGGGAACCAATTAAAGAAAATGGACTCTCTTGTGGGAGCTCATGGGGTGAGGGGTTACGACTTCTGTTGCTGGGTGTGAGGAGGTAATACATCAGACAGATAGATGAGTAAAGAACATCAGCACCCTGGAGATTGAGGGAGAGATCTAACTTTTACCAGTCACATATGAAAAGACAGAAGGACAGAGAGGAAAACTTCTAATGTCCTTATCACAGATACCTCAGATACTTGCCAATTGTCTGTTGCTGCTTTGGCCTACACGAACCCTTTTCCCTGGTAGCTGTCATATTACTGAGGTCTCTGTGGCCTCTCCCATTCCCTCTTCCTGGTGCTGATGTCAACACAGATTTGGAGGTAGGAGGACTCAGCGGGACCACCCCAAGCTACACAGAAAATGAAGCTCAAGGAACCATCAGGGCTCCACTGTAGAGTGGTGGCCGTGTGGGAGTGGCATGGAGAGCGGGACATGGAGATACTGTCCTTGTGGGAGTTTGGACTGTGAAGTCTTGATCTAGAGCTCTGTTCCAGGCCTTTCCCAAATATGAGGAATACATGAGCCGCTTGGTACTGGCCATTGACCCTCTGCTGGATGCAGCCCCAGTGGACATGGCGGCCTTCCAGCACAACTCTCTGTTGCAAAGGCTGAAGGCACTATCCACCCTCAAGCCCCTGCTGAAGGCAGGTGAGTCCATCAGGGTGTGAGGAGTGGCTTTCATGGGTGAGGTAGAAGAGCCTGTTTTGTTGATGCCTGAACCTCCAAGGCAGCTGCCACTCAGGGCCAGTTGGTTGACTACGTGTGCTGAGTCCACCTGGAATCTTCACTGAGGCCTCCGGCTGGTGTGGCTGAAACCAAGCCTGGACAAAGGCTGCATCAGTATCAGAGAAATGGACTCCTCCCAGGGAGTGTACCTTACAGAGTTCAAAGTAGGGGAATAAGATATAAGTTAAAAATTTTCCAAAAAGAATAGTAACGGCTAAATGCAACCGATACCTATGAATTTGCAAATGCTTTACATATGTCATTTAATCCTCACAATAGCCCTTATGAAATATGATTCCAATTTTACAGATAAAGAGACAAGTTCAAAGACATTAAAAGGAGACCCTAGGCCATGTTTCTGGAAAGATGGGGGTTGTGGCTTGCCTCCACCATGCTACCTTGCCTCCTATAACCCAGTTCTCTTGTCCACTAGGTCCAGAGCAAAGTGTTTCTCACAGCGTGTCTACATTGCTGTTTTGTGGGTTTTGTCTTCTAGGCCGCATCCTGGGGGCCCACCTTCCCCAGTACTACCAGGTCCTCACAGCTCCCATTGCCAAGGTAGTGCTTCCCACCCTTAGGCCCGACCTGTAGTTGGGTGCCTGTCCTACTAGCCAGGTCCCTGAGCTCTTCTCCTATGACTTTGCTGTCAAGGTGCTGGATCAGTGGTTCGAGTCTGAGCCTCTAAAAGCCACTCTAGCAACGGATGCTGTGATTGGAGCCATGACAAGCCCTCACACTCCAGGGAGTGGGTGAGTGAGGGCACTTAGGGCCAGCAGGAGTGGAGAACATTACCCAGAGAGAACCAGGGCAGGAGCAGCGGCGACTGTCATTCACTGAGCTCACTTAGCTAGGCACTGCACTTGAACACATTTGCAGAGAGAATGAGAAGAAAAAGGGCTTGAACTCATTTAAAGACTTACGAAAAAGGCTGAGTGGGGGCAGGAGGAGGCTGCAGGTACTAGAAAGAAAGCAACACTTGGACCTAAAACATGGGAGGTGGAGTCCTATTTCCAGCACCTAGTGTTATGCTCTATGCTTAGGTATGTGCTGCTGCATCATGTGATGGGGGGCCTGGAGGGAGTACAGGGTACCTGGGGCTATGTCCAGGGTGGCATGGGTGCTCTCTCTGATGCCATTGCAAGCTCAGCCACTGTACACGGAGCAAGTATTTTCACTGACAAGGTAAGCGCTTCCCCTCCCCTGATTATAGGCAAGGCTACATAACAGTCTGGAGTTTGGAAGGTCCCTTGTTTTCCTGACGTAAATGGTTGGGCTTAAAATCCAGGCACTAGTCGGGTCATCCACCGTGTGGTGGCTGAGCAATTGTCAGAGATCCCAGTTTTTCTCACCGGCTCCTCTGAAGTCACCAGTCACTAAGCCACCTTTGGGCTAAGGCTTCCCCCAGAAGCTACCAAGCTTGGAGGACTGGGTTGGGAGGAGAAAGTGTGGGTGCCCAAGTGCAACACAAACTGGAAATCAACCAGATTTCATCTGAGTTTCCTTCCTGGGGCTTCTGGGGCCTCTTGCTGGTGGGCTCCAGACGGTCGCCAAGGTACAAGTGAGCAGTGAAGGCTGCGTTCAAGGAGTTGTACTGCAGGATGGCCTGGAGGTCAGGAGCAAAGTAGTGCTGTCCAGCGCATCGCCTCAGGTCACCTTCCTGAAGTTGACACCACAGGTGAGGCGAGAGTGGAGGTGAGATGTCTGCCAGAAGGGGCTGAAATACAGGGCCACCAGCGGGATCAGAACTACCTAAGTGTGGGAGATAAGAGCGCTAAGTCTCCTTTGGGAAAGCGGGCAGGTAATGGGCAGCTACCAGGAAAAGCCGCATAGATAAGGAAGAAAAGGTCAGGAGAGATGAGGTGACCCATCCACGCAGCTGGCAATTACTTGCTGAGCCAGCCCTAGAATCCATGTCTGACCTTTGGCCTACAGTTATTTCTATAACTTTCCTACAGTTCTCTCATCAACTTTAATTCCACTGTCTGTGTCAAAGAGCTGTTGCCCTATTGATGTCACAAAACAACCAAACACAAAGCTTCTGGGCAGATAGTAGAAAGCAATAGTAGCTTGCAGACACGGAGAATGCACTGGATCTTGGCTGATTTGCAGTGACCAGGTCTATCTGTGCTTAGCCACCCAACTCTGCTATACTTATTCCTGTGCCTGGGAATCAGCTGGCTGTGGCTAGTTCAGGACAGTTTCTGGTAGAATGACCAAGGTTATCTGACTCATCTCCATGTATCTCTCAGCCTTCTAGTACAGTAGTCCGGGCATGTTCTCAGGACCTGGCAGAGGGCAAAAGCTAGCAAGTTCCATCATGAAATTGTCATATTGTTTGATCTATTTGCATCTTACTTTCTAACATTGGCCAGAGCAAGTTTCACAGCTAAGCCCATAGACACTACAAAGTTATAAGGAGAGGGCTGAGAATGTGGGGCAGTTATTGCAATTGCCCACACTTTCTCTGTCCTTAGAAGATCAGATAATGTGAATGTGAGCACAGAATCACCAGTCGTTCTGGGGACTAGTGCACGCAACACCACTTTCACCACTAACACAATTTAACAAACATCAGTGCAGTGAGACTTGTGAAGTTAAAGCAGCTCTGAGATATCAAGACCTCCAGAGCTTGTAGACTAGAAGAGAAAAGCTGCAGGGTGGGAGCTGGCAGAACTCAGAGGATGAAGTGGTCAGGCTGAGTAGGAGGGCCTGGGAGGTCTTCAGGAAGGAGGTGGCTTGGCTAAGCTCTGGTAGATGAAGAGGATTTCCTGAGACAGAGTTTGAGGGACTGGCCTGGGCAAAGAAAGAAGGTAGCTTCCCTTGGGGCCTTGGCCATACTTAGCCTTTCACAGGGACTTCTCCCTACAGGAGTGGCTTCCAGAGTCATTCGTAGAGAGGATCTCCCAGCTGGACACCCAGTCTCCTGTTACTAAGATCAATGGTAAGAACACCTAATTGCAGAGCTGAGTCTTCTGGCACTCTCTGAGTGGAAAATCCTCATGTCTGAGAAAACTTCCCATACCATCTCCCTCCCCTGACCACCAGCCTCCCCCTAGTTGGAAGGTAAGACACTTCACACTCTCCAGCTTCCAGTCCACCTGTGGGTGAACAGGTTGCTGACTGCAGATAAGGGCCCTGCACAGCCAGGGACCTGACCCCCGTCTTTGGTTCTTCAGTGGCTGTGGATAGGCTGCCCAACTTTCTGGCAGCTCCCAATGCTCCCAGAGGCCAGCCACTTCCCCATCACCAGTGCTCCATCCACTTGAACTGTGAAAACACCCTCCTCCTTCATCAGGCCTTTGAAGATGCCCAAAGTGGCATGCCTTCCCACAGGTGGGTGAGCTCAAGTTTGGCCTCCCCTGCATGTTCCGCTGCAGGGGCTGGGGTGGTGAGTGGCTGTCTAGACACAGCAGAAACTGGTCTTTTCAGCCTGACATTGAAACTTTGTGGTGACCTAGGACCTGCCTCATTCCATACCTAAATTCCAAAAACAGGAAGTGCATGCCAGGTGAGAAATCTGTGGACCAGGCAGGTGGGTGTGAAGAGCAGGACATATCAGAGATCATTACAGGTTAAAATAACCCCTGCAGAGGACAGTGCTGGTGTTGGGAAGAAGAGAAGATGCTTTCTGGGAGAGAAAATGAGGTTATCTGATTCAGAGGCCTGATGGGGCACACACTGAGCCCCTACTGGGCACCCTCCTTTATGCCACATAAGCTGTCTTCATGCAAAGCTTCCAAAAGCATTCCTACATCTTGCTGCAGCTGTATCTCTGTCCTTGTAGGCAGACGGGGACACTGTGAGCCCCACACCTTTTCATCCTGTCCATCAGCTGACAGATAGAAAGCCTCCCTACACACAGCTCTCTACTGGGTGTCAGTTAGAGGCCCTGGGGGCCAGGTGGAGGCACAAAAGAGAAAAAAAAAGGTTATGATCTGTCAGGCACAAACATTTGTATCTTGTGGTAAAGAGGATGTGGGTCTAAAGAGAAGGTTGCAGGGCAAAGTGTTTTATCCATTTGTAAATGTTTGGGGGCCCTTGCTTTGTGCCAAGCAAAGACAGCAGGCCTATACCTCAGTTGCTGACCTTCCATTGAGAGAAGATAAGATGATCCACAGAATGTATCAGTGATAAGCACCATGGAGACAATCAGGCAAGAAGGAGAGGGTTTGCTGGTTAGGAGGCCAGGAGAGGCCTCTCTGGTAATATGACATTTGAGCAGAGAACTCACAGAAGGGAGAATACAGGTCTTGATGTTGTTGGGGGAAGACCATCCAGATGGAAGGCCAGGTGCAGAAGCCCTGGGGTGGGATTGTATGACTGTGGTGAAGGCAGAGTGATGAGGACGGAGCAGTTGGAGAGAAAGAACCTGGGCACGGAGGACCTGTGAACCAGAGCAGCCAGATCCTGTCAGGTCTGGTTGGCTCTTGCTAATTTCTACTCCAGGAAAGTTTCTGCAGAGCTTGACTTAATCCTTTAGAAAGATTAACCTGGCTACTGTTACAGTTGGTTACTGCTGCAAAATCCAAGGGAGACAGAGGGCAGTGGCTTGGACCAGAGGGTGGGTGGGCAGCAGAAACAATGAGAAGTAGCAAGGTCTGGGTGTAGTTTGAAGGTAAAGTAGATGAGATCTGCTGTTGGACAGGAACTAGGGGGTGAATGGAAAATAACCACTGTGGCCTTACAGTGACAAGTGACCCAGCACCGGTGTTGCCCCGGGGATGTTACTGTGACTCAAGTCCCTGCCCAGTGGCTCCCTAGCCCTCTCCTCGGGCCAGCCCTTCTCCCTCCCCCAACCTTGCAGGCCCATGATTGAGCTCTGCATCCCTTCCTCGCTGGACCCCACACTGGCTCCTCCCGGCTGCCACGTCATCTCCCTCTTCACCCAGTACACACCTTACACTCTGGCGGGAGGCAGGACCTGGGATGAGCAGGAGAGAAATGCTTACGCTGAAAAAGGTAAAGGGGGCCAAACCGCCGCCACGTGACTGCCTCACTCAGTCATACCCACATGTGGTGTCCGGAGGGGAGAGGAGTGCTGAAGATAACCTCCTATCCCGGGATGAACTTCTCCTGGGTCAGGTGCTGGGCTAAGAAAGCCAAAAGAACAAGGCTCTTAAGTTGTTCACAGCCTGGTCAGGGAGACCAACCAACTCATCATTGCAAGACTTTGTATTTTACTCAACCAGACAGAGCCAATGAGCCAGAGAGAGAAAGAAGGCTTTCAAAGGAAGGGACATTTGATCTGGGTTTCAAAGAATGAATAGGAGTTGGCCAGAGAGTGAAGGGCATTCCAAGCAAAAGGAAGCAGATTAAGTAAAGCAATGGGGTGAAAGAGAAATACAGGGAAAGGGTAAGGGGACATTACCAGAGACCCCTGCAGTGGTCCTGGTCTCCTATGAGCCAGTACAACATCCTCAAGATAGGAAAGTAGAATTAAAAGAAGCGCACAGAGACCTGAGAGAAGCTGAGTCTGGGGATGATCTAAGCTGCTGTGGGAAGCAAAGACAAAGGACTCCTAGGACCTCCGGTGTTTACTCATTACAAGTGTGGGAAGGGGGAAACTGGGCAGGCCTCGGGGCACCAGCTGATCACAGGTGCACAGCAGGCAGGACTGTAGAAGGAGGCACAAGCGTATCTTTGCTCTTCGAAGAGAACAAATGGTTAATTCAGAAGGGGAGAATTTAGCTGGAGTCAGTTGACCTTGGCTGGGAGTGTCTCAGCCAAGCTGTGCTACTTCCGGTGTAACACAGCCGAATTCTGAAGAGGGAAGAAGCCTGTGCCACTACAGCCCGCTAATATGCAGCAGAGGTGTCTGCTATAGACAAACAGCTTCATGTTTAGGCTCGTGGTGAGGAGATGGGGAAAGACGGGGCCTGGACTAGCCTAAGACCCTTTGTCGGTGTGGACTGTTTTTGTTTGTTTTTTACTTATTGAGCTATAATGTACCTTTAAAAAATTCTTTCAAGCATGTAGTTTTAATGAATTTCAGTACTTACCTAGTTGTACAAGCATAACACCTGCTCCTCTTTTTCCCAATATCATCTGGTCCTCTGCTGTTGGACACACAGTATTCGACTGCGTTGAGGCCTACGCCCCTGGCTTCAAGGGCTCTGTGGTGGGCAGGGACATCCTCACCCCACCAGATTTGGAGAGAGTCTTTGGGCTTCCTGGAGGGGTGAGTATGAGCCTGTACTCTCACATCGCTCTTCCCTGCACCCCACTTGCTGGCTCTGCCCTCTCTGCTCTGCCTGGCCCTCCTTGGGAAGTGACGATGATGGCAGGGACCATGGTGGAGAAGGGACAGAGTGCAGATCAGAGATGACGAGCAGGGGGAATGGGGACACAGAGACACAGGCACCCCAGGAGATGATCCCCAGGGCTGAGGCCCCCTCTGCCCCAGCACCCGTGGCAGCCTCTTCCTCGTGACGTTCATCGCAAGGTGCCCTTCCTGAGAAGGTCCTGCACTGCTCTTCAGTTATAAGATTGAATCTGTGGATACTGTTATAACTAGAAGTAACTCATACGGAGCCAAAAGAGACCCAGAATAGCAAAAGCAACTTTGGTTTTTCAAAGCAAATTCAGGATACAGAAACTTCCCCAGACACATTCAGATATTTGGTCTTTGACAGTGGGACCAAAAGCATATGTTGGAGGAAAGATACCCTATTCAACAAGTGGGGCTGGAAAAACCGGTTATCTGTGCAGATAATTGAAACTGGACCCTTATCTCTCACCATATACTAAATTAATATCAAAATGGATCAAATATCTAGCCATTAAAAAAAAACTTAAACCTACTAGAAGATAAAATAGGTAAAACACTTAAAGACATATTTGTAGGAAAGGATTTTCTAAACAGAACCTCAATTGCACAAGAAATAACAGCAAGAATCAGTAAATGGGATTATAGGAGAGTAAAAAGCTTCTGTACAGAAAGAGAATCTGTAGAGGGAAGGGACAACCTATACAATATGAAAAAAAATGTGCCAGCTGCTGCTCAGACAGATAACTAATATCTAGAATACACAAAGAACACAAAAAATTAAACCACTTAAAGATCCAACCAGAAAAGGGGCAAGAGAAGTGAACAGACATTTCACACAGCAGAAGAAATACAAATGGTCAACAAATGAATGAAAAAACGCTCCACATCTCTGGCTGTTAGAGGAAATGCAAATTAAAACAATGCTAAGATTTCATCTTACTCCAGAAAAAACAGTAATCATTAAGAAATCAAACAATAGCAAATGTTGCTGAGATTTTTAAAAAGGAACCCTCTTTCATTGTTGGTATGAATGTAAAATACTACAACCATTATGGGAATTCGTAGGGAGATTTCTCAAAGAACAGGAATTAGAAATTCTGTGTGACCCAGTGACCCCCATGTTAGGTGTCTCCCAGAAGAGTTTAAGACATCATACTACAGCAGTAGATGCTTACCATTGTTTATAGCAACATAATTTGTAAGCGCTAAGTCCTGGAAACAGCCTGTATACTTATCAATAGATGATTGGATAAAGAAGATGTGGTATCTCTATATGATGGAATACTACTTTACTATAAAGCATGACATATTTCAGACGTTTGTAGGAAAGTGGATGCATCTGGAAAATACAATGTTGAGTGGAATGAACCAGACACCCAAACTTAAATACCATATGGTATCTCTCATTTGAGTGAGGCAAAGTACAAACAAAGTGAAGAATAAAGAATGAATAGAAGAGGAAAAGGAGATGGATTTCTTGCAATAGAGAAATGGTTGCCAGGCATGGTGGCACGCACCTGTAATCCCAGCACTTGGGAGGCTGAGGCAGGAGGATCACTGTGAGTTCGAGACC